CATAAATTAGCTGTGGCATTGTATAAACTGCAGTGTCCAAAGCGTGGGAAAAAAGTAGCAGCTTATACACCTGCAATTACTGTATATAAAATTCATGAATCTTGTCAAATTTCAAACTGCACAAATTTTTTTAAGATGTTAAAGATCAAAAACAGATCAATATGTTATATTTTCAACATGTTTTATTAAATTTACCATGTGATTTAATGCTTCTTCTCCCCCTCAGAGGAGGGACAGGTTCTACATGTGTTTAGTGCAGATTATGGACGCTCTGACAGCACTACCTGTTCGTACCAGCGTCCTGACTCTCAGGTCCTTAATGTTGATTGCTCAAGGACTTCAGATAAAGTCGCTGCCAGGTACAGACTGTTAAATTTGCTCGCTACTTCTAATCTTTAAAAGTATCCTCCGAAACATGTAAAAACCTGAGTTTCATTAATGCGTCCTCAGATGTAACGGGAAATCCAGCTGTACCTTTCAAGCAAGTAACTCTGTGTTTGGAGATCCCTGTGAGGGAACCTACAAGTACCTGACGGTGGACTACACATGTCAACTTGTCTTTTGACTTGTCACAGCAAATGATTACATGTATGGCTGTCAGAATAAAGCAAATCAGAAAAAAGTTGAAGCTCTTTTGTTTGTTGTAGGTGAATGTGTGAAACAAGTTGCTACGTTAGTTTCTGAGGAGTTCTGCATATGTAATATGCAGACATTAACATAAAGTCTATCAACTATTTTTTAAGTAAAAAAAAGGATTCCTTAAAAAAAAGGTTTTATTTATTTAAAAAAAACTGTTTCTGCTACATTTTTACTTCTTGGAGTCATGTGATCAGAGCTTTAATCTAAGAGGAAGGAAGTTTTCCAGAATTCATCTTTTTTCTTCACAAGGTAGAAGCTGACGTTTATTTAGGCACAAAAGCTCTTCTGTTTAATTTTTACTCCAATTTGTAAAAGAGTTCCTGCAATAAATAAATGTACTTAGAATTTATTATACTTATGAATTATGATACAACATTATGATATTTATGTATTATGGCAGCACGACGGCTCAGTGGTTAGCACTGTTGCCTCAGAGGAAGAAGGTCCTGGGTTCAGTCCCCAGTTGGACCTGTGGTCTTTCTGTGTGGAATTTGCATGTTCTTCTTGTGCTTACATGGGTTTTCTCCAGTTTCCTCCCACAGATCAAAAACATCTTTATGTCCCAAAGCACACGGCATGATTAATAGATTGGAAAAACAAGTGCTGCTTTTGTTTTTGAGCAGCACGATTGTCATTGCCTTCTAGGTGCATTTGCAGGTGGGTGATTGTTTCCACACGCATTACATTCAAAACGTCATCCCTCGACCAAAAGTCAAAGCCCATGTTGCCACCTCAGCCGCTGAGAACCAACCGACAGCAGTTGCAGTAGCTCCCAGATCAGTACTGGAGTGGGGATTTGTCCGATGGGGTAACCCACCGGTATGACCATGGTTGGTTGTACACACATGTAGCTCCGATGCGCTCTGCTTCTCTCCAGGATGATGCTCCAGTAGATCCTGGCTCTGAGCCAACATTCCCTTCAGCATTGCTGCGTGATGCGCCGATGTAATTGGAAGTGATGTTACCTGCACTGCTTCACCTGTATCAGGCACAACCTCCACAGTGCTAGCCTGTTGCTCCACTGTGATAGGACCTGGGTTCAGATGTATGTCACCAGCCAGAAGCATAAGCACCAATAGTACTTTAGACACATACACTCTACCTTGGCATGATGTTGATGTGTTTGCACTGTTTCTGTTACTTTTCCACAGATCTTTTGATATCCAAATAGAATACAGAGTAAGGTGTCCATGTCAAAACATATAAAGCTTTGTTTGTTCACCTTTGTTCAGATCAACTAGTTTGCACTCATTATGTAGAAAAAAGTTATGGATCCATGTACAAAGTAACATTAAGAAAAGTTGTAAAATACAGAGGGTATGAGTGTAATCCAACAAACTACTTTCCCCCTCGGCAGCCATCTATCTCACGCTAACATCAGTCTAATGCTCCATTATTCCTTCACTCATGAACAAAACCCCAAGATACTTGAACTCCTCCACTTGAGGCAGAACCTCACCCTCGACCTGAAGAGAGCAATCCAACCTTTTCCAGTTGAGGACAATGGCCTCCAATTTGGAGGTGCTGATTCTCATCCCAGCCACTTCACACTCAGCTGCAAACCACTGCAGTGAGAGCTGAGGATCATGGCATGATGATGCCAACAGGACCACAGATGGAACCCTGAGGCCACTGAACCGGAATCCCTCCACCCCCCTTGCTGCACTGAGAAACGGTGACAATGGGCAGCCCTGGTGGAGTCCAACTCCCACCCTGAAGACGTACATCTTACTACCAGCAATGTGAACCAAACTCTCTCACTGCTTGTATAGGGACCGAACAGCCCATAACAACAGACCTCCAATTCCATACCCATGGAGCACCCCCCCCACAGTGTACCCTGAGGAACATGGTCTAAGGTCTTTTCCAAGTCCACAAAATGCATGTAGACTAGATGGGCAAACTCCCATGACCCCTCGAGGACCCTAGAGAGGGTAAAGAGCTGGTCCAGTGTTCCACAGCCAGGACAGAACCCACGTTGTTCCTCCTGGATCTGAGGTTCGACCAACGATCGGCCATAGAGTTGTAACCACAACTTATAAATATTTGTAATGTTAAAACAGTGTTTTATAATAAATTCAGTACATGTAAAAATAAAAAAAACTCTAGTCTGTCTGTCATCAATTAGCATTAATTAAAACTCTTAGCTATAACTATAATAAAAACAGCAAGTTCACAGTTTCAAAGCCTTTGATTGGCTAAAAATATATTTCAAACCTTCCCTCCACCTATATGAAAAAACAAAAATAGAAATAGAAAATATAAATCCGTTATTTCTCTTGTAACAATAATTTGATGTAATAATGACAACTGATGTCAATAAAATCTCACAGCCAGATTAGTATGAATCTGTAAAAACCTCCTTTCCTGAATAATCATAACACCTTCATTTGATATGTGATGTTCTCAGCCAAGGGAGTAGAACCTGTGACTTTTCCCCCTGGCACGCCACCTTTCACCACTCCAGAGTAGCCCATCTGCCATTTAATAGGCCGGATGAAGTCTGTCATCCATCCTTCAAAACCCAGTCAGTGGACTCTCAATGCCTCTGTCAGCGACCCGTCTGGAGCTGCATTATTGGGGAAAAAAGAACAAACATCCTTCTCCCACAATATCACAAAACTCCACCCACCTGAGACAGCAAATAGAGGTAGCAAGCCTATGCACAACATAACATTAATTGTCTGTATAACTGTCTTATTATGAGTTATTGAAAATTAGCATTCATTATGGGTAAGTCAATGGGCTTAGCAGGTTTATACTCATCTGACACCTACACACAGGTTGTCCCTCGCCCCCAGTAAATGTCCTTAAGCCACCATCCGTGAACACCTGCAGAGACATTTGGGTGTGTGTGTGTGTGTGGGGGGGGGGGTTACAGCCATCCACCCACGCATGGTCTTCATATTATGTAACTCTATCACCATTTTACTAACGGTGTTATAGTTAACAGTTCTAAAAAGCAGTCAGTAGTTTTTCCAGTCCAGCACCGTTTCAGAGACCTGTGATGGGTTAATATTCATTCAATGAACTTTATTTAGACAGGTTAATCCCATTGAGCCTCGAGGACTCATTTACAAGAGAGACCTGATTTCAACAAAGAATGATGACAACAATGGACAACAGCAACAACAATAGACAATCATAAAAGAGGCATACAGTTTTTTTTTGTTTTTTTTTACAAATTAAAATAAGATGGCAAAAAAAGTAGCAAAAGCAGCTAGACTATAAGACAAATGTAGAAAACTAAAAACAGGAACATGTCTGCATTGGTCCCTGCCAGGAGTCCAACAGATTCTTAAAGCCACTTAGAGAGGTCAAGGTCGAGAGCTTCAAATATTTTTGTAAGATATTCCAGGAAACAGGAGCGGAGTAGGAGAAGGCCCTTTTGCCTAGTTCAGTCCTCATTGAGGGAACACTGCATGTAATAATGTCCTGAAAGTGCACACTGTAGCTGCACTCTCACAGAGACATGTAGAAGATGTATGAAGGCAGCAGACCAAGAAGTGATTTAAAGCTGAAAATATACCAGTGGGAGAGTATGCTTGAAGTTAATGATGTCCAGTTAACCAGTGAATACAGGGTGCAGTGGTGGGTACGATAATCACAGCCAGTTATGAATCTTAGTGCACTGTGATAGACAGCAACCAACATCTGCAGGGTACTTGTAGGAGCATTCATGTTGTAGAGCATTCATATTGTTCAAGACATATCATCATTCACATCATTAAAATAATCCACAAAAATAACCTTTGTCTAATCAGTCTTTTTTAAGGGACTGGCACCTGTAAAGTGAAAATGTCTCTTTTGAACCATAAAATTATCAATTTCAATCTGCATTTCCTTAGACTCATCTCAAACCTGTAAGGCATCCCACCATTGTAAGGTAATCCCAGCTCTCATCATGACTCATGTCAATATCTCCTGTAGGACATTTCCTTTGATAAGACCCATAATTAAGGTTGGCTTGTATTGCTGTCTAAAGCGGTCCATAATTAAGGTGGATTCATTTATCTGTCTATTTCTTGATGGTGAAGCTGCACTAAATAACATTATGACATAGTGTTTGTCTGAAAAGACGCTGTCCTTCTATCTCTGTAAAATATTAAGCACTCTCTGTGTGTGTTCATTCAACCTTTATTTAGACAGGTAAAAATGTGTGTGTGTGTGTTTGTGAACGTGACTTCTATTTATCCAGGCAAATCCCACTGAGAACACAGATCTCCCTTGCAAGGGAGGCCTGGGCCTGAAAACCCAGCATGCATGTTTTTGGTCTGTAATAGACTGTACTTATATAGCACCTTTCTATTTTGTCAAGATACTCAAAGTGCTTTACACTACAAAATGTGCCCTCATTTACCCATTCATACAGCACTCTACTATATCTCCATCCATCCATCCATCCATCCATCCATTATTTTTTACCCGCTTCTTCCATTTTGGGTCACGGCGGTCGCCGGTGCCCATGTCCGGCAATCACTGTGCGAGGGGCGGGGTACACCCTGGACAGATCACAGGTCCATCACAGGGACACATAGAGACAAATGAGACAAACAACAATTCACTCTCTCACTCACACCTAGAGACAATTTAGAGTTACCAATCAACCTAACATGCACGTTTTTGGTCTGTGGGAGGAAACCGGAGTACCCAGAGAAAACCCACGAATGCACGGAGAGAACATGCAAACTCCACCCAGAAGGGCCCCCGGACCGGGATTTGAACCAGGGACCTTCGCGCTGAGAGGCAGCAGCTCTACCAGTTGAGCCACAGTGCTGCCCTCTACTATATCTCTACAAAGCTAATTGAACAAATCATTCTAAAGAGACTAATCAGTGCTTTATCACATTCATACACCGATGGGACACACATCGGAGGCAATGAGGGGTTCAGTGTCTTGCCCAGGGACACTTCAGCATGTGGCTGTTGGTGGAATCGAACCCCTAACTCTCGCATTGGAGGACGA